AATGAATCTTGTTTTGAGGAGCACCTAATTTTTTAGTTGTTACTTTTATGCATTGTAGATATTAGTCCTCTGTCTGAAGAGCAGCTGGCAAAAAAATTTTCCCCATTCTGTAGATTGTCTCTTCTCCATGCTGATTGTTTCTTATGCTGTGTAGAAATTTAAATTTGATATAATCCCATATGTTGATTCTTGGAATTATTTCTTGTGCAATTGGGATTTTGTTGTTAAGGAAGTTCTTGCCTGTGCCAGTGACTATAGCAAACCCCTGATCCAGTCACTTCCCGCAAGACCCACCTCTGAACACAGGAGGCTTTTGGAGGACGGTCTAGATCTAAACCCTAACACTTAGTTTTGGTATTGGGTAATGCTAGCTTCAAGGAGTGAATTTGACAGTGTTCTTTTTCTTTCAATTTCATGGGCAAATTTGAGAAGTATGGGCATTAGTTTTTCTCTGAAGTTCTGGAAAATTTCAGTAATGAAGACATCAGGTCCTGAGCTTTTCCTAGGTACTATATAGTTTTATTACTGCCTCAATTTCATTGCCTATCATCAGAATACTCAGGGCTTTTATATCTTCTTAGTCCAACTTTGCTAAGTCATATTTCTAGAAATTTATCCATTTCTCCTAGATTTTTCAGTTCATTGTAATGTAAGTTTCCAAAATAGTTTCTTATAATCCTCTGGATTTCAGCAATATCTGTTGTGATTTTGTCTTTTCACTTCTTTTTGTTGTTTTTTTTTGTTTTTGAGACAGGGTATCACTATGTAGTTGAGACTGCCCTGAACTCACTATGTAGCCCAGGCTGGTCTCAAATTCACAGCGATCCTCCTGCCTCAGCCCCCGGAGTGCTGTAAATACAGGTATGTGCCACCATGCTCAGTTGTCTTTCACTTGTAATTTCATTGAGATGGATATTTTCTTCCATTGCTAAATCTGGTTAAAGGATTTTTAAAATCTTATTTATACTTTGAAAGAACCTGTTTTGTGATTCATTCATCCTTTATTGATATGTGCTCTGATCTTTATAGTTACTTTCTTTTAATAGGTTTGGAGTTTGGATTGCTTTTGTTTTTCTAGGCCCTTGAGATTCATCAACATTAGATTATTCAGTAATCGTCCAGTTTTCTAATGTAGGCACTCAGAGCAAAACTTCCCTCTTAAACCTCCTTTATTGTGTTCCACAGGTTTCAGTATATTGCACTGCAATTGTCACTTGAGTCTAGGAATTTTTTGGTTTCTTCCCTGATTTTTTTGGTAAACCATTGATTACTCAGGAAAGTATCATGTAATTTTCATGTGTTTGTGTAATTTGTGGTTTCTTTTCCTGTGGATTTAGTTTTATTCCACTGTGATATGATAGGATGCAAGAGGTTATTTGCAATCTTTTATATTTATTTAAATGTGTGTGAAAAAATGGAAACAAAGTCTTTGTAAATAGGGAAGGGTAAAGAGGGTGAAGGGAGGGCAGGGGTATGGGAAAAAACAAGGACCAAGATATATCATGTACATGTATCATGTAAAGGCACAAGATCCCAATGATAAATGTAATTGTATTGTTTGCTTTAAATGTACCTGTAAACTTAATGAAAAAATAAATAAGTAAATATACTTTATAACCTAAGATGTTCTATTTTAGAGAAAGTACCATGGGCTGCTCAGAAGAATAGGTACTACTCTGCTTTCAGATAAAGCACTCAATAGCTCTCTGTTAGGTACTTTTCTTCAATAGCATGGTTTGACTTTAGCATGATATTTCTTTGTTGAATCCTGTTTGGCTGACCTATTTGTGAGAGCTATTAAATTCCCACACTGCAACTGTATTGATGTCTGTCAGTCCTTTTAAGTGAGGAAGTTTTTGTTTTATGCAATGAAGTATGCTGATATTTAGTGCATATATAACCATAGTATTTGGTTTATGAAGTTGGGGATATGGTATTTGGTGCATATATATTTATAATTGTTATTTCTTCCTATTGAATTCTACCCACTACCAATATGTAGTGACCTTTTGTCTCTTTTCATCAGTTTTGACTTGAAGTCCACTTTATCTGATAGTAGGATAGTTATTCTTGCTTGCTTTTGGGCACTGGTTTGCATAGAGTATTTTACATCTTTCACAATAAGTCTGTGTTTCTTTATGGTGATGTATGTTTCTTGTAGGCAACGTATAGTTAGGTTTTGTCTTTTGAACAAGTCTGCCAGTCTGTGTCTTTTCACTGGGGGAATTAAGATCATTCACACAAACATTATTATTGACAGGTTTTTACTGGCTCTATCCTTATATTTTCAAGGCTGATTTTTCTTTTTCCTTTTGTTGAACTACTCTTTTAAAAGAATTCTTTTCCTTTGGTATCCTTGGTGATGTTCACTCACTGTTTCTGTTTAGAATTCCCTTGAGTGTTTTCTGCAGTGCTAGTTTAGTGGCCATGAATTTTTTTTTCTTTTGTTTTATTAATGCATCCTCCTAGTCTAGTACATAATGATACTATTCCTTTTGGGAATTTGGTACATGTACGTAATACTTCTTAATTTTTTTCACTTCCACCCCCCCATCTCTTGGTCCTCTTCTCTTTTGCAAAAGATCTCTCTGTTTCCTATCATCTGTCTTTCATATTCTTTATTTACATTTGGGTTTCTCATGTAAGAGAAACTATGTGATATTTAAACTTGTGTATCTGATTTGTTTTACTTACCATTGTGACCTCAAGATGCATCTGGGATTTTAAACAAATAACCCAAGGTTATTCTTCTTTGTGGCAGAGTAGTAGTCTGCTGTTTATAAACATCACATCATTCTATATTCATTTATCTGATGATGGACATATACCCTACTTCCAAGATTTTGGCATTATGAATTATGCTGCTCTAAATATAGGTATACATTAACTGTTGTAGAAAGATACCCAGATGAGGTA